ACACCACACACAAAACACACCACACACAAAACACCACACACAACACACCACACACAAAATATACACACACCACACACACACAAAACACACCACACACAAAACACACCACACACACACAAAACATACACACACCACACACAAAACACACCACACACAAAACACCACACACAACACACCACACACAACACACCACACACAAAACATACACACAAAAAACACACTACACACAAAACACACCACACACAACATACACCACACACACAACACACACCACACACAAAACATACACACACCACACACAAAACACACCACACACAACACACCACACACAAAACACAAGACACAAAACAAGACACACAAAACATACACCACACACACAAAACACACCACACACATACACACAGCACACACAAAACACCACACACAAAACATATACACACCACACAGCAAACATACACACCACACACACATACACACCACACACATACCACACAAAAAACACACCAAACACAAAACATACACACATACACACACCACACACAAAATGCACACATACACACCACACACACATACACATCACACACAAAACATACACACACACCACACACCAGACACACACATATACACACCACACACCAAAGATACACACCACATGCACACCACACACACAAAACACACCACATACCACAAACACAAAACACACACCACACACAAAACATATACCACACCCCCCACAGATGCACAATGCACACACAAAATACACCACACATGCACACTACACACACCACACACACGCCACACCACACACGCTACGCATACATTCACATCACACACTACACACAACACAGACCACACACACAAAAACACAAAATACACCATGCACACACAAAACACACACCACACATAAGGCACACACACATGCAAGCACACACACACAGGTGCAGGCACAGGGGTCCCCCTCTCTCCCAGAGGAGGGAGGGAAAGAGGTGAGGGCAAGAAGAGAAACTAAAATCTGAGGACTGGCTTCCAGCACCCGTCCTCTCCTCTGATTCTGCTCCATAGGAGAGGGCTGGGGAAAGGGAGAGAGACAGAGAGAGCGGTGAGGGGGAGAGAGACACAGAGAGACAGAGAGAGAGACAGAGAGAGAGACAGAGAGAGAGGTGAGGGGGAGAGAGACACAGAGAGAGAGAGACAGAGAGAGAGGTGAGGCGGAGAGAGACACAGAGAGAGAGACACAGAGAGACAGGTGAGGAGGAGAGAGACACAGAGAGAGAGACACAGAGAGACAGGTGAGGGAGAGAGAGACACAGAGAGAGAGACACAGAGAGACAGGTGAGGAGGAGAGAGACAGAGAGAGAGACACAGAGAGGGGGGGAGAAAGACACAGAGACAGAGAGAGAGAGAGACACAGGCACAGACAGAGACAGGAGAGGGGGAGAGAAACGGGGGCGGAGAGAAAAATAGGGAGAGGTGAGGGGGGAGAGAAGTAAGGGGAGAGAGAGGTTGGGGGGAGAGGGACAGACAGAGAAGGGGAGGAGGAGGGGGA